TCTGAACCNTGTTGTCTACCATTGTCCCACCCTAAGGGTTCTTAATTAACCAAGATTTTGCATTGGTGCGTGGAAAGTTTAATACATTCAACACATCTGCATGCTTTCCTCCGCTGCCACTTGTAGATTGTCATGCACTTTTCGGTNATATATATGGACATGAGTTGCTGATTATGCAAATTCCTACATTCATTTTGAAATCAAATAGAAAACTAAATATTCTGTAACTTCAAACTTAACTGACATGCACTCATGTAAACAGCGCCTAATTTTTACTGCCCAATAGCCAATTTGATCCCAAGGTAAAGAATAACCTGTTACAATATTCTCTCCCCCCCCCACGTTGTGAGATTCTTTGGACCAAAACTATTGCCATCGGACTTTTTTGGACCTGATCTTTTAACATTGACTAATTTAAACTCGAACCTCAAATTAATTCAAATTCGATACCCAAACATACGATTTTATTGTTGATTTAGACTTTGACCAAGTTACCGTTAGTCAACGTTAACGGAACAGTGACATGGACGACACGTAGATAAAAGGAACGGCCTGTTAGGACCAGAACTATTGCCATTTGGCTTTTTTAGACCTGATTTTTTAACATTGGCTAATCTAAACCCGAACTTCAAATTATTTTAAAAAATTAATAAATTCACCTCATAATTCTAAATAAAAATCTAGAATCAGAATTAAAAATTAAATTTTAAGATAAATATAAAAATTATAAATTCGGAATTTAAACTGTAATTAAAATTAAAATGAAAAAAATAATATTTTTAAACTATAATATTAATTATAATCATGATAAAATATTTATATACTAAATTTTATCAAGTTCTAATTTCCAATCTTAATTCTAAATTTCATACCTAAATATCTAATTTCTAATCTTAATTCTAAATTCCAAACGTAAATATCTAATTTCCAATCCTAATTTTATCAAGTTCTATTTTCCAATCCTAATTCTAAATTCCAAATAATTATTACTATTTTTCACAATTAAAATGTTT